TCCTACTAATTATAATCACGTATTGCCCAATGTCAGCTGCTATCATCGACTGAAATAAAATTGCTGTTTCAGCAGAATCAAATGTTCGAGGAAAATGAAACAGGCTGTAGATGTTATGCATAGAGATCGAGAACATGAAGAGGGTGCTTGTGGCAACTGTGTTGCCTCCACCGTCATATCTCCTTAAGGAGATGTAATCTTTATTTCTGGTGCTGCTTTCATTTAATGCTTTCTGGTACTAACATTTAATGCTGTCACGAAAATAGGAAGGTAGGTGTTGGTCATTTATAAGTATTTATTATTTTATGATATCTGAATTTATATGAAAATATTTTTTTGAATAGTATATTTTAAAATTTATAAATATATGATTAGTGTATGGCTTGCAAAATGGATTTATTTAAACTCTTTGTTTTACATTTTTTAACGTACTATTTTATATTACATCACGGATGTATAGTTATGATCTAGATTTTACCAATACAGTTATACATTGAATATGTGTTCATAAGCTATTGGTGTTGTAAAATAAGTCAGGAAATTGGTGAAATTTAAATTTTTTTAATAGCAACAAAATCCAACAGACTATTGCTTATGCACACTAGAGATTATTCATAGATCTCAAATATAAACTCTTGGTCAAGTTTGGATGCTGGAGGCACTAGTTCCAACCTTGTGATAAGATCCTAAAGTTTTATCGTAAAATAAATAAAAGAAATGATAAGGTTCTGATACCAAATGATAAGACCCTAAAGTCTTATCATCGCTCTGATACCAAATGATAAGATCTTAAAGTCTTATCGTAAAAAGAAAAGAGAAAGGGATGATAATGATCGCTGAGGAGGAGAGGTCGAGCGGCTACGCTGCGACGCAAGGGGAGGCGGGCGGCGGCAGTAGGGCTGGGATGGACGCTGGCAGCGTCGTCTCCTGGCCGGGGAACAGCGGCAGCGGCGGTCGCCGGCCGGGAAGCGGGGCGATGGTGGGCGCTGGCTGGAGAGCAGCAGCGGCGGGTGGGCTGGCCGGAAGCAGGGGTGGCTGCGGCTTCTTCTTCATCTCGTGTTTCTTCTTTTCTTTTTTTCCATTTTTTTTCTTCCTTGCGGCGGTGGTCGCCGGCAGCGTCCATCCCAGCGTCGTCTCCTTGGTCACCAACGATCGCCGAGGAGGAGAGGTCGAGCGGTTGCGCTACGACGCAAGGGGAGGCGGGCGGCGGTAGTAGGGCTGGGATGGACGCTGGCAGCGTCGTCTCCTGGCCGGGGAATAGCGGCGGCGGTGGTCGCCTGCCGGGAAGCGGGGTGATGGTGGGCGCTGGCCGGAGAGCAGGGGACGCAGGGGTGGCTCCAGCTTCTTCTTCCTCTCGTGTTTCTTCTTTTCTTTTTTCTTTCTTTTTTTTTCTTTTTTTTTTGAACGAGATGGGGCAGCGAGGAGGTCGAGCGGTGGTCGAACGGTGGTCGAAGGTCACTGGCCGGGGAAACAGCAACAATGGTGAAGAAAGAGTTGCCTTGTAGTGGTGGTGGGGAAGAAGGGAAGCAAGGCTGCGACGGGCTGCGCCAAGGATCGTTGCTCTGATACCAAATGACAAGACTCTAAAGTATTATCGTAGGCTTTGATACCAAATGATAAGATCCTAAAGGTCTTATCGTAGGCTCTGATACCAAATGGTAAGACCTTAAAGTCTTATCGTCGCTCTGATACCAAATGATAAGACCCTAAAGTCTTATCGTAGGCTCTGATACCAAATGGTAAGACCCTAAAGTCTTATCGTAGGCTCTGATACCAAATGATAAGACCCTAAAGTCTTATCATCGAAGAAAGGGGAGAAATGGGGATGATAATGATCGCTTCGAGGGGATCGGCCTCCTTGATCGCTTCGAAGGGATCAGCCCTTCTTGATCGCTTCGAGGGGATCGACCCTCCTTGATCACTTCGAGGGGATCGGCCTCCTAGGGTTTGTCAAAAGACAGAATAGTATTTTTTATAGATTATTTAAAAGAAGTAATTACATCCCTATTTATAGAGTTCCACTCAGAATCCATCAGGACTTGAACTCTAATAATAAATAAATATTAAATAAACCTCTACTTCACTCTAACTGAACCAAACCGAATAAACAACTGGACTAAACAGACTCAATAAACATTATTCAAAAGCTAAGAAAAAGGGTCCTAACAAACTCAATGAAAGATCAGCAAAGGATTTGCACTATGATGAAAAGTGGAGTATGGAGCACCAATATAAACAAGGGCAACATATGATGATTGAGCCAATTGGAGAGGAACCGAAAGCAGAAGGACCGACGATCACCGAGGAGGACAAGGTTGATTTGAAGAGGGAGGAACTGTTGGCAGCAGCAGTCGTTGCTCCGGCCAGCAACGACTGCTGCTGCCAGCCACTGTACGGCAACCGCTGCTCGCAACCCTAGCCCCCTTGGCTCGGGCGAGAACGACCGCCGCCGCTCCCCCTTGCTCTGATACCAAATGATAAGACCCTAAAGTCTTACCGTCACTCTGATACTAAATGATAAAACTTTAATCGTAAAAAAGAAGAAGAGAAAGGGGATGATCACTTCGAGGGGATCGGCCTCTTTGATCGCTTCGAGGGGATCGGCACTCCTTGATCACTTCGAGGGGATCGGCCCTCCTTGATCGCTTCGAGGGGATCGACCTCCTAGGGTTTGTCAAAAGATAGAATAATATTTTTCATAGATTATTGAAAAGAAGCAGTTACATCCCTATTTATAGAATTTCACCCAGAGTCCATCAAGACTTGAACTCTAATAATAAATAAATATTAAATAAATCTCTACTTGACTCTAACTGAACTAAACCAACTCAATAAATAACTGGACTAAACAGACTTAATAAACATTATTCAAAAGCTCAGAAAAAGTGTCCTAACAGTTCCTCCCTCTTCAAATTAGCCTTGTCCTCAAGGTTAAGCAGCATCAATCTCGGGGAGCTTGTCTTTTAGCACTTCAGTCATAGGCTATCTGCAACGCATCACAACCCGTTGATCAAGTATGGTCTCCACTTTTTGATAGTGTAAGCAATAGGTCGATCTTTCAGTATAGTAATCGTTGCAAGAAATTCCTGGCCCTTGCTATCATAAGTTAAAATCCGTCCATCAGCTTCGAATATATCATAGCCTTCAATATGGTGGGCTAATTGGGCTGTAACTTTTCTGTCTAT